TTGTTTTCAGAATCTGAATCTGACTCTGAATCTGAGTGCACTCTGGCCGCACCCTTCGACTACACTGTTTATTTCTCGCGCTTGTTTTCGAAATCTGAATCTGAATCTGAATCTGAGTGCACTCTGGCCGCACCCGAAGGGTACGACCAGAGTGCACTCCTGATTCAGATTCAGACTCAGAAAACAAAGCGCGAGAAAAAGCAGGCAACCTGCTTAGACTACACTGTTTATTTCTCGCGCTTGTTTTCGGAATCTGAATCTGAATCTGAGTGCACTCTGGCCGTACCCATAGGCAGGTTATTTACTCTATGGTAGGGTGTCTAGTTGGAATTTATGTTTCGCGAATGCATCTTTTCTACTGCTCAATTGGCAGCCTTGCGTATGATTTATATTTTTTCCAGTTAATTCAATCAGTCATACATTTATCGCGTGGCGTGAGCAGTTATTTTGTTTAAAACTAACTGAATTTGTAATTGTAATATCGTTCGTCAAATTTTTTTCGATACAAGTGAGTATCGACACTTTTCATTCGATACCGAATAGGCATCGATACTTTATCACCGATACAGTATCGAGTAAAAGTATCGATACCTAGATGGTATCGTTTCATCCCTATCAACGACAGGAACACAACACCACCAAAAGGTCGTGTTATTTTATTGTGGCCTAAGTAGGCTTGCCAGATGCCCGGGAAATCCAGGATTGTCCCGGAATTTTGCGTCTTGTCCCATGTCCAGTAATTAGACCTTATTGTCCCGGAATCCGCTAACACGCGTTTTACAATATTACTGTACCCACACCTACCTGCGAGAGGCGACAGAAGCATGCCATATAAAGGCATAAAAAGGGGAGGGGTCCGGAATTGATAAGCCAGCATATGGCAACCCTACCTGTAAGGGGGCGCCCATGGGAGTTTTTGGCGGGATTTCATCGAGTGCGCTTGGCGTCTTATTTTAAATATTCTTAAATTCGTTCATAGTGGATATTGTGAAATAAAATTGGTGTGGTTTTGTGTAACAACCGTCTGCGTAACTGAAGAATTAGTGGAATCGTTAAAATATACGCTATTCCGGTCAAGTGGACGTGAGAATTTTATTGTAGTGTTGACTACCTCACAGAAGCTTATCGAAAAAGCCAACTCGATACATTTCGTGCCAAACACTCCAAGAAACATTAGAATGCGTCACACTGACATTCTAATGTAAAAACAAAAAGAAGATTAATTTTATTAAAGACCAGGCTGTATGGGCATTGTTCCCTTTGCCTTCCCTAAAACGGGAGAACTTCAACAACAAAAAAAAGGGTCATAAATTACGTGAGGTATTTTTTTGAATTTTCTGTCCCTCCCTCCCCCCCTGTTGAGATGTCGTGAGATTTTATTCAACCCCCTCCCCCATTACCCAATCTCACGTAAGAATTTTCAAAATGTGGGTTTCTTACGTAAACGCGTTGAAATGTTATTGTAAAATGAAAAAAAAATGCTTCGTGCTTTTATTTACGACTACTTTCCTTTCGAACCAATAAGTGAATGATTTAATCGTATTAAGGTTATCTTAATGCTTACGATTAAATATTAAGCGTGTACAATCTAGATTAAATCGACCAAAATAGTATAATTCTTTTTTGTTCCATTAAAAAAAATTGCGTGATATTTACCGAGACCCCCCCTCTCTCCAACGTAAGATTAGATGAGATTTGACTCGATCCCCTCCCTCTCTTAAACATCTCACGTAATTTATGGACGCCCCTAAAGCGTAGGTTACTTCCCTAGAAGGGCGCTCCAATAGGGATGATGACAAAATTTTTTTTCTTCGTTTATCAGGTAGATTATCAAAAAATAATGGACACGTATTTTTTCTTTGGGCAATCAACCAAAAAATGACAAAGTTATAGCGCGTCAAAGTTTGGGAGTAGGGGCTCGTGACGTCACTTTTGAGTGAATTTTCACTAATAAGTGTACTCAAACGTGACGTCACGAGCCCCTACTCCCAAACTTTGACGCGCTATAACTTTGTCATTTTTTGGTTGATTGCCCAAAGAAAAAATACGTGTCCATTATTTTTTGATCATCTAACTGACGGACTAAATAGAATTTCGTTTACTGTACCCCGTCATCATCCCTATTCGAGCTGAAAATCCGCTACCCCTTCCTCTTTTAAATTTATCTTAAACTAGATATTTATTTGCAGATTACGTGGAAGCTGCGAATGGGGTGTGTTATCTGCAGGAGTTCGTGAAGCTCTCGGAGTATAATTGATGTGACATTAAAAAATACATATACTGAAATTTATTTCTTTTTTTTATTGAAATAAATATTTTTTTCCGATGAGGTGTAAATGGAAAAATCCTATGGGAAAGATGAAACGGAAATGCGTCACGAGCGTCACGCATGTATATATATTATATCTGTGTGTGTGTGTGTGTGTGTGGGATGCGTGCGCAGCTCTTCCCGACGAGCATGAAAGTTAGAGGGTAACTCGGTAAAGCTGAAACGCTACGAGCATCACACGCGACAATATGCGAAGAGATGGCGCCATCTCCTCGCATTATAAGTAACCCACAATGTCAAATTAATTTTCCTTTTATATAAAAACCTTTACAAGTAATAAACATTTGAAAGAAGAAATTGCAATTAAAGTTATAATTTTATTTTTTAAGCATGTAACTGCTCAATGTTTGAATCTAAGGAAAATATCACAAAAAATAAATAAAAGAAAAAACTATTTTTCTAGTAATATTTTCATCGAGCCGTTACTTATATATACTTAAAAATTAAAAATATTTAAAAAAAAATATAAATATCTTTTGTTTTTTTTTATCCCACATGTGGGGCCGGTCTTTATATACTTCGATCACTCGTGTCCAAACTTCATGCTCATTATGATCTGCCGCCTTCTTCATCGAAATACGTGCGCTGCGTGTGACAGCTACCAACCGACTGATTGAGAAATTGCCCCGATCGTGCTACACACTCGGCAACGTGCAGGGCGGCAGGGACAATCTAGGGACCAAGGGTGGTCTTTCGCTCCTGCCGCCCTGCCGCAGGCCCGATTTATAAATTTGCCCCAACTTGCCTACACACATCACAATTCAGGAGGCAATTAAGGGTCATCCCCACTCTTACACCCTAGATTGTCCCTGCGGCAGGCATGTCAGTAGGCGCTTTTACGATACACTCGGAGAATTGCTCGGGATGCGTGCGGTAAAAAAAAATACAGATCCTTCCTCGAGGGGCGCTGGCGTCGTACTGATCTGCGAGTAGTTGAGCACTGGTACATATTGCATTTTACGGAAGAGCGTCACCACGCCAGAAATCGGTTTTAAGTGCGCCAAAACATGTTTCACATCAAAAAACACATTTAAATAAAAAGCAAAAATTATAGTATCACAATATATTTAATTCATCAATAAAAAAACATTATCACATAAAATTCATCTTAAAAGTACTTACATATTAAACAATGTGAAAAACTAGGTACATATATAATGTCAATACTAATAAATTATAAAAAAAATATAATTATCTTATTTTAATGACTATATATCGATGACTTCATACCAACATATTGTATATGGCAGTAACATTACAATAACTGAAAAAGAAACACAAATTTTACACCAAGCCAATGTTAAAATTAATTTTTTATTTCAATATAAATTCAGTTCATCGTTTCAATAAGTATAGTATCTATTCACCCAGACTCTTACCCCGTGAAGACCTGTACCCCTAGCACGAACCATTATCGAATTCGAATAGTTTGCAAACCGAAATGTCAATGTCAAATTTTGTATGGAAACTTGAACAGCAGCGACACAAAGTACGTCACGAGAACTAAAAATCAGTACACATTTGACAATGACATTTCGGACTCGCAAACGATACGAATTCGATAATGGTTCGTGCTAGGGGTACTGGAACCTTACTCATCAACAGAAACACATCAGTCTTCTGTAAGGTGGAGAATACTTCCCCAAAAGAGCACCTTATACTTAGTAGTTCTCAACAATATAGCATTACAGCAAAAAAGTAGGGCATAACTTGGCATTTTAAAAATGAGATTTCTGTCAGTCATGAATATCTCTTTTCATTCTCTTTCTAACTCTTTCTTTATAAGTTATTCCCTTATTAGTTTCAATTAGATAATAACTTTCTATACAAGTTATTCTCTTACTAGTTTCAATAAGAGAATAACTTGTAAAGAAAGTGAATTTTGACAGTTAGTAAAGTTTTATTTATTAAATGGCCACATAACTTGCCGTATTTCTAATACGAATATATAACAATTATGTTCTTTTTTACCATAATATGATACCATACATATGATAAACAAAGTAATAAAAATAGATTGAAAACTTGTAACTCTATGCAAAATTACTTCATATTTATGTAGTTATAGTTACATGGTAAACGGCCATTATTATGAAAAAAACCTTAATAATAGCATACTTAATAATAGCGTCCTATCACTTTCACTAACAGTTACCACTAGTAGTTCAGTGTTTTAAAGCCTACTAGAATAACTCATATTTTATAATAATAACAAAAAACACAAAAAAATAAATATTTATAAAAAAAGAACCTTATCTTTCTCGTTTCGTTCTCTTATGTCTCTTTCTATACCAGTTACACTCGTATTCCCTATCAGACTTTTAGCACCTTCAAAAACTACGATAAGACTTATTTAGTAACAATAAAAACCAAATAATGTTTACTATTTCAATATAACTAACAATCACTTTCTAACAGTCACCTAGCCCTTTAAATTCTCTTTCTATGCAAGTTATCCTCTTAGGATTTTTAGATATCACAAAAGTATCATTTTTTAAATAACTTAAAGAAATTAAACATATGTTTTGTGATTTCAAATGTTAATTTCTGCAAGTCATATAATTTCACAATACGTAACCTTTCTTAATAAAAAATATACGACAAAAATAAATAATTTCAAAATACCAATTCTACCAGTCATTTATATCATTCTTTCCATTACTTTCTACGTCTCTTTTAATTCTCTTTCCATTACTTTCTACTTGAGTTACTCTCTTAGGAGCTTCAAATGCCATAATAAGTCACATTTCTCACAAAAAATAACTTTAAAACCTAACATAAAAGATACAAAATTTTAGCATTTTGAACCATCTATTTTACCAGTATCAACTATCTCTTTTCATTCTCTTCACATCTCTTTCTCTACAAGTCACTCTCTTGGGTGGTCTAAAAACCACATTACTACGTCTCTTAACAGTCTCCATTTCATACTTATTGGGGAAACCTGTCACTTGTTTTGGTGAAAAGTAACTAACAAAATTGACCAACTCGCTTCTACTGCAGTGCGTAGGAAAACATATATCAATTCTGTTCTCCGAAATTCTTTGGAAGGTCATATCTTCTATGCTAAAATTATCCCATTTCATAGCTGAAAGGTGCACGTAAAGATAGCTCTTGTTGCTAGTGTCATAAGGGAGACATCTGTGTAAATGTCTGTCGTTTCGATTAGAACAACTGTGGATTCTTGTCACTATCGGATCGTCGGTTACACCGGGAACTTCTTTCGGGAACAATCTGGGTAGATGACAATTTTATTAGTACATTATATTAGTGTGACCAATCACTAAATTTCTAGTAGATTAGTGGAGATCGATGACGCAGGTGGTTAGCGCAGTCGGCTGCGATCGTTAAAGTTAAGCAACTTTCGCAGTGGTCGGTCACTGGATGGGTGACCAAAAATTTAATCCGTGCTTCTCCGTGCTTCGGAAGGCACGCTAAGCCGTTGGTCCCGGCTGCATCTGCAATCGTTAGCACCCACCAATCCCCACTGAAATAAACTGTTCCAAAACTAGGAAATAAATATTAAGACCTATGCCAGACGATGTTATCCAGCGTACCAACCAAGGTGACCTTGGCGGGAAGTTGGTTTCCATCCGCGTTATCATTTTCGGCTACACGGATGTAATCCACGCGCCAACACGCAGTCGCGAGCAGTGTTGCCACAATGAGGGGAAATTCCTCTTTTAAGGGGAAATTAGGGTCCAGAGGGGAAGAAAAAGGGGAAAGACATGAAAAGGGGAAATTGCGGGAAATTATGGATAAAGCCTAGCCTAAAATAATGCGGCACGGAACAAATTTTTTATGGACTATACCGTGAACAAGTGTTGCCGTATAAAAAAAATGTGGCAACACGTGCAGATTTTATATGTTTTATTTATCTGTTATAGAATAAGATAGATTAAGACCTTTTTTTTCTTTAGTTACTACACTAGCGTAATTTTTGAGGGGAAAAATGTCCTAAGAAGCGGAAATCTGAATTGAGGCGTGGGGAAAGAAAATCATTAAAGTGGAAACACTGGTCGCGAGCCGTCTTCTGGCATGAAAACACGTATGCACTTGTATCATGCGCGGATTGTATTAGTAACCGTGTTGTAGAAATGGTTCCAAGTTTGTCTAAATTTCAATACGTGGGCTTTGCCTTAACAGTTTTGTGACGACAAAAACAACACAAAAAGAGAAAGTGGTGAGATGGATGGCAACGGGCAAGGTCACCTTGGTTGGTACGCTGGATTACATCCATCTAGAATAGGTCTAATAAACAATTTCAAACAAAAAGATACATTGATTTCAAATGCACTAACCCTTTGCGTCATCGAGCTCCTTGCCTATCCTTGCGCTAGCATAATCAAAAACATATTCATACATACCTATACAAAGTCCAATCTCCACCGACATACACTTTCATTCCCAGCTGTTCGAAAATCTCATTGAACACAAATTCGTACCCAAATCTTGCGGAAGGATGCAAAGCTACATAATTATCTTTACTGCTTTCTAACCAATTCTTAATTTCCACCAAAGCAGAATTGACACATTCACTTCTTTTAGGGAAATTCTCATACTTTGCATTGAAGAAAGTTGTGTCAACATACATTCTGTCAATATTAATTGGGTCCCCGTTCCGGTCATGCAGTTGTCCCAATTTGGAGACATCGTTAAGACTTATCCGGAAGTCTCCAGTGAAGAGAATGGTCTTGTTGAGTGTTTTGAATAGGAACATTACGGAACCGAAGCAGTGTCCAGCCGGTATAGTGGTGACTTGTATGTAAGACTCTTTATGCTGTTCTGTCTCTTCAAGCTTTACAGTTTTAGTACCTGAAAATTTATAATATTTATATTTTTAATTGTTTATGCATTTTATGGCTAGATGTTTAAATCTAAAGAAATCTAAATAATCTAAAGAATTTTACTAGAAAAAATTCCACGCAGACAGAACTCAAACTAATTTCAACAGGCATTTGAATGCATAAAAAATAAAAATATTACTATAATTACTATTTCTTCTTTCAAATGTTTAATACTTGTAAAGGTATTGATTTGACATTGTGGGTTACCTACAATGCGAAGAGATGACGCTGGTTTGCAACTTAAGAAACACTAGAGAAAATTCGACATGGCCATCAGGGCCTCTGTAGCATAATGGCCAATGCATTCACCCAGATAGAGAAGGGTACAGATTTGAGTCCTGTCTGCTACATGATACGTGTGGAATTTTTTCTAGTAAAACTTTCTTTAGTATATTGTTATAATAATGTCAGGTCTACTTCTCTATCTTCTATTTCTGCGATATTTTCAAAAAGACATAACAGGGACCAAGTTGCAGGGGTACATAATAAAAATGTGTCAGTGGACATTATAACACGTGTTCTTGCAAATTAATGAATGTTTTTATAGTATACTAGTGGTTGCCAGCGACTTCGCCAGCATTAACATTAATTTCAGAAAAAAAATATCCTATGTCTGAATCCAGGGCATAAACTATACGCATACCGAATTTCATCCAAACCTGTTCTGTAGTTTTAGTGTTATTGAGTAACAAACATACAAACTTTCACATTTACAATATTAGTAGGATAACCTTGTCGCAAACAAGAGACGAACTTCTTAGCAATCCCTGGATTCACCGTACAGGTGCCGGGTTCATCATGTGGGAGATAGAGAAACTCTTAAGTTAACTGAGAGGTGTTCACTTCCTTCTTCTCTACCTTTACCAAAACTCTCTTCTTTCGACCAAGATTTACTACGGGAGGGGGCTCGAATGCGAAGCATGAAGTCAGCGGAACACTTAGTACTGTATTGATAACAGACAATTTGCCATACTAACGACTAGACAGCCAAGAGAGAAACAAACTTCTTAGCAATTCATGGATTCACCATGAGGGTGCCGGGTCCATTGTGTGAAGCGGGAGTAACTTTGAGCAGTAGGCCCCCTTTGAGATACGCATCAACGCTCACCTGACTTGCTCAATTTGACATGCTACATTTTAAGTAAAATATTCAAACTCTCCAACTTATTCATTTGGTTTGGACTTTTACAAGCACACGTGGAAGTACTATGCGATTCAATTAAGAATAGGAAAGCTAATGACCTCCATCTGTCAAATGTCACTTGAAAAGTACGATTTGCAAAAAAATCTTGGAACACTTTTTTTAGCTCTAATCTAACCTTAGAATAAATACCAAACATTTGTAAACAAAAGAAGGAAATAAATCATATGAAACGTATAGAAAACGAGTACTGGAAAAGGGAAATATAAGAACTTTAGTTTTATTATAAATACAGGTAACATAAAGACCGTTTTTATTTCAAATAAAGTTGTCGTTTTGAAACCTACAATAATGGATATTTTATTTTATAGCCGAAAGCAGCAGTCATGATGATGACGATGTCGATGACTACTCCGAATATAGTGCAGAGATGAGCGGAATTCAAGACCTAGATTCCGATTAATGTTTTTTCTCACTAGTCTTAGCAAATTAATATTATTAAAAACTATGATATTTTCTCACTTAATCTTGGTAAATAAGCTTAAGAAACACTGTTTTGCTCACCCTACCTAACTGGTTTGAATTGACAGCTATGTCGTCACAATATGGCGCCCAGTTGGTCCTATTCTTAGCTGAATCGCATTAAAGAGACGTACATACCTAATGAAAGAGGTACGACATATTCTTTCACAGCTGCAAAATCTGCTGTCGATGAAATAATCGCCGATGATACTACGGAAGTATAAATGTGTACGTTGTCTTCCCGCAGGTGTCTTAACAAGTTTAGACTTGATAAGCCTTGTGTGTGGTCTCGGTGGCAGTGACTCAAGAAATATGCTCTTTTGTTCGCATTCTCAAAGTTGTCCACGGCAATTCCTGGTATTTCAGATATGACACCGTCAAAAGAGCTAAAAGTCATGATAGGCTAGTGAGCTGAGCTGAAACTAAGAGATTTTCATAGAAAACACCACTTTTTTGTTATTCTAGTGAATTATTAAATGTATAAAAAAACATAGTACTCACCTTTTAACTGTCTCTTCAATTCAATTTCTTCTTTAATGGCTCCTTAAAGATTAAGCCAATGACTAGTGTATGTAGCAGGGATTGTCTATTCTATGCTTGTTCGGTATATTTATAAATGAAATTTAATAACTCTGCTTAAAGTGTAGCGGGGTGTTGTGCAGGTACAAGGACGGCGAGTGACTGAAATTCTGAAATGAAACTTTCTCTCTCCGTTTATATTCTTCTGTCAAAAATAGTTTCTTTTTTATTTATTCTGGCCTTGGAGACTTTGTTCTTCAGCCGAAAATTGACAAAAATCGGTGTCATAAGTTTTGCCAGGTTTCAATTTCATTTTACCCTTTACATGCTCAGTTTACCCTAGATTTCGAGAATTTAAAAAAATACCCTAACCTGTTTTACTGATAGCCAAAATCGGAGTTAAAGTTGAGCTTGATACCACAAGTGTGACTTTATAAAAAATGCCAATTTTGCTCCTCAAAAAGGCACTAGTTGCGCTACTTTTAGTGATAAAAGTGTTAATACAGGTTCAATGGGGGCTATTCGCTACCGAACCGTTGAAGAGGACACACGAGAAGATCTTTCACAAAAAAAAACACCTACTGCTGATGACGCCGCTCATTCTCCGATTGCACCACTGCAATCAGTGTGATGCCGCTCGTCAACCGAACTTGAGCCGCTTTTCGGTTCCCATCTCAATTCTCATTACAGGCAATATCCTATAATAGAACAACTTTTGTTGCCTATAATGGAACAACTTGTGGCCTCTATGGAGGGCTACCCTTACTGGCATAAAAAATCGGTCCCTTCCTTGATTAAAATAAAAAATACATGGAGCTTAAGCGCTCCAGTTCACGCATTAGCCGTTACTCTAAACTTAAACGTTACGTACGTAACTAAAACTAAATGGAGTTCAGTCAATAGTTAACAGCAGATGGCAAGGTTGAAACCTTTTCTTCACTGATGCTTCTAAAATGTCGGATACAAGCTGCACAGGAATTGCCATTTACTTTCAGAATTCCAGAATTTCCCTTCTGTTCCAGCCAGTGGCGGCACTAGACCACATGTGGACGTCGGCGACATCAAGTTCGCGATTTTACTTTGCAGTAAAAAACCATTAAATTAATTGAGCCAAATTATAAAATAACGTATGAGTAAACGAGTTTTATTGTTGATAATCAAATGATGACAAAAAAAAATTAAAAAAATAGAAATTTAATTACAAAAATAGTGTTGCCAGACAGACGATTCTGAATACCCGTAAAGTACTACTCGCTTCCATCACGCACGTATTCGAAAATAACAAAAGTTTTCTCCCCGAATTGTTTGGGGTCGGCTACCTAAGCCAGGCCAGGAGAAACAAAAATAAATAGGTAACTTGTAAAAATTTTTTGCGAGGCCTCCTCAGGCGCGAGGCCGTCGGCGGTGGCCGACGTCGCCGACGCCTAGCGCCGCCACTGGTTCCAGCGTCCCAAGAAACGTCGGTCTTAGTGCGTAGGAATATTGGAAACCGTGGAATATATTGAAAGACCTAATGTTAAAACTCTGTTATCTTTTAGGACTCGTACAGTGTTCAGGCATAAAAACCCCCTTAACAGCAAAATAAAAAGAGATATTGATGTTGATTCTGGCATGATTCTCTAAAGCTAAACTGAAATTTGACAACAGTGCATCCCTGTCATTCTCTATACAGAATGAAAAGGATAGACTGATGTTAAATTAAGTTTAAAGTTTAGAAAAACACGCCAGAATCGACACCAAAGTCATCCAAATTAAAAACAAATTATTCAAATGCGAAAGAAAACACTTGACCGTTTCCATTGCTTGGATTCCTAGTCATTCGGACATTTCAGGAAATGAATGTGCAGATTCCCTAGCAAAGTATGCCGTTTCTAATGATGTTATGTTCACTACAAGCCCAAGGCGAGGGGACCACGCAGTGGAAGTTTTGATTATATTGTCCCAACAAATACTTCAGCTGGGGCTTAAAACACAGCTCCTGCGATATCGCAGGGATTTCTTAACTGAGGGCTTACCGAGTTGTATGTAATGTAAGTCGTTTGTGGCTGTGGTATCTGTCATAGAAATAGATAGAAAGGGATGGGAAGGCAGAAGATCCCTCTTGGCTCTTTTAAGTTATTATAATCGGCGATAAAATCAAACAAAAAACCTCGCGTGTCATCAAGACACCAAGACAAAGCCCTTATTACCCGCGCAGTCACCGAAAAAATTATGCGGACACCACTCGGCAGTGAAGTTAGGGATGTGCTTTTTATTCGTAACAAATGAAGTTGATCAAAAACGATTTTAGTTGAGAATAAGGATTCCATAAAATACAGTGCTTAATTTTTTTGTTCTACGACAAATATTCACGAAGTTATGACCGAAATAACTAAACGAAATTTCGCTTGGGTGCGAGTGTGCGTAGTGAAGCTATTAAAGTTCAACCGGAGTGATAGTGAACCACGATCGAACTCTATGACGTCATACGTTTCGATTATATATATATGATAAATAATATATTCGATTATTTCCTATATTTCGATATACGTTACGATTCAAAAAGTTTAATAATTAAAAAGCTCATTATAGTGTTGATTTTGAATTAATTTGCTGATCTAGTAATGATCCTTATTGCATAGTTACATAAACATTTTTAGCGTGTGTGCGTTTTTTTGTGTGTATGACGTGATTATTTTAAGTATGTGTTTAAAGCAACAACACGGTCGTACTTGTGCGAGTATTGCATATTTTCGTTAGTGTAGTGTGTTATCCGTGTGTACCTCGCCCCCCACTAAAAATGGAGAAAAATTTTGTTCGGCGAGTGAACGGTAGGGCATCTCCATTGGTATATGCTCTAAGCTCTCAGTACGGGACGCTGGCAGATGGGCAGGATGGATGGAAGACACATAAGGATACGGCCACAGTGCACACAGGTTCAGAATCAGATTCAGACTCAGAAAACAAGCGTGAGAATACAGTGTAGTTAAAGCAGGGTGGCCATAGCGGCAGCAGGCAACCTGCTTAGGATACGGCCAGAGTGCACTCAGATTCAGATTCAGACTCAGAAAACAAGCGCGAGTTACATTTTGAAATTTGACACCATTACATCCTTGTCATGTTCTAAACGGAATGAAAAGGAGAAACTGTTGTCAAAAGTTAGTATAGAAAATCATGCCAGACACAGCCCTAATGTAGATTGTTATTAATATTAAACGCGTTTAATAAGTATGTAAGCAGCTCAGTGGCTATCACTTCAGTCTGCAAACACCATTAGCGAAAAGGTCTGCTGTATCTTTATATCTATTAACGTAATTTTTAGACTTTTATATTGAAAGTATGAGATAAATAGCTTCTGTTATGGATATCTCATTGAGCCCGAGTTAGATCTCCATTCACATAAAAAGTGCAGCATAAATGGTTCATGTCCATGGCACCAGAGCATTACCAGAGAAGTACTCATTATCCTTTAAAAATTGCCGGATTTGAACCATTCTTCCAATTAACAAATAAAGTTATTTTTCACTTAGATTTTTCTCTCATCACATCATATTCCAGATACTAATCGGACTAAACAAGGCTCCAAGAATCTAAAACCCCCATTTAAGAGCGGCCACCGCTATATGCAGAAATGTTATCGCAGCCTGATTAGCCCTTAGAGAGGATCCTGCATTGCAGTTCGACATGCAGGACTCAAGACGTATCCTGTTCGGTGCCGCTGGACGCCATGCAGGCTGCGACAACATTCACAATCCCTGCATATAGCGTTGGACTGCCGTGAAAGGGCGCCTTAGCGTTCATGCCATAATATTTGCGGGTCAATTATGCTTTAGTGATATAATCATAATGTGATGTCAATATGATGTTGATGCCAACTTGACATTATTGTTTTTAAATTAGTATTAAGAAACATTCCTATGTCACATCAAGATCATATCAAATATCCTGTATCACATTTTTGACGTTTATGCGATACTGTTTTCGTTAAGTTGATATCATTTTAAAGAGTTGATCATAATAGGTACGCATAAAAGTCGATGTCATTTTGATATCGCATTTTTCGGAGAGCATAATACGTAATGTGAAATTGACATCAAAACAATTAATTAGCCTGCTGTAATCTGTAGTCCATGCTATAGATAGCGACCGGACATCGCTTATCTGTGTACCGGACCATTTTTATCAACAATGGTCACACTGAATGTTTTGTCCTGGGAAAAACCGGAACCGGTGATTTCAAAAAGGAACAATTTGTCATTTGTTTATTGTTTTGTTTAGTGAATTCTACTTATTATTTCTATAAGTTTATCCGACTTCTTAGTTCCACGAATTGCATACCAACACAATTTAAATGTCTCCAGCTTCAAAGAAGTAAAATGAAAATGAAGTGCACTTGGTTACCTTAAATGTTTCTAATAATTTGTGTGGCAGTGGTGACATTGTATTTATATTTAGTTGCTAACGATTCTCCACACCAGAAATCAAGGTATGTGAAAAAAAAAATTGTCCATAAAATTCGCAAAAATGCTTTTTAAGTACCCACGTATTTCTGATGTTCTTTTTTTAAATTTTGTTTTTACAAATCAGTCAGTGTAACCCAAAGAGTAGTATAATATACCGGAAGTGTAACCTTAAAGAAAAGATTTCATCGTATAAAGAGGTTTATAAACTTTTATATCCCAAGTTATATCTATATTTTTTCAAAGAGATTCTAGAATTGTATTGTTTAAGATAATATTTTGTTTTATTTTTATCATCAAGTTGTTATTAATTACGGAATTAACTACAGATGTTTTGTTAAGAGGGGAGGCAGGAAATGTTTATTCCATAGGAACATTCTCAACTAATTCCTCTTTGATTTTTATAATTTAAAAAATTATTTCCATACACAAAATATAATTTTAGCCATTCTTTACTCCTGTGTCTTTCTCTTTTTGATAACTTGTTATTCAAAGAAACTAGCCCTCAAAAAAGCCAAAATAAACTATTATTTTTTTGCATCAATTTGACATACATTTTTAATTTTAAATCAAACATTGATTATTAATTGCACTATTTTGTATTGATTATTCATTGATTATTGATTCCATTTATTATTATTGATTATTAATTACATTGTACTTTTCTGAATTGAATGTTGTGTGTGCTTGTAAAGGCTTGCATATATGTCTTAGATTAAGTATTATTTAATTTTTTAATGTTTTTATATGTTTAGCGGTAAGTACACCTATTAAATAAATAAAGAAATTCTGTAATACGGGCCTTAGTGTGGAGACTCAAAAAGCATTTACAAGAAAAGTAAAACATAGAGGCTTAGTATTATTACTACTTATTATTCTACGGGTAAAATTTCTTTTACATATATCTAATTTTGAAGGAGGAAATTGTTGAGGGCCAAACCTCAAATTTTGCAGTTGTTATATGCAATTTTCAGAGTAAGCTGCTGTTGTCCCTATCGCATGGTATTTGCCATTGTTCGAAGGCAATAGTTTTTTCAAATATTTATTTCTCAAATGTCTCTCAGCTCGCGTCCACTCTTAATAACTCTGAAATGGCAAGGCGATTAATTTAAATAAAATATTGGTCCTTTTTGCTGGACTGCTGCTGCTTAGTTTTGTTGTACTATAAGTTCTGTATCTGGAGGTACAAATAGAGTTCATGAAATTATCATCAGCCTGATGCCGTCCCTATGGAACAAGTCGACGACCTCCATGGCCGAGTGGTTTGTACGCCGGGTTTCATGGTGTCGCCGACTCGAGAGGTCCCGGGTTCAAATCCCGGTGGGGGCAGATGTTTGTGTGATGAATACGAGCAATTGTACTCCAGTCATGGATGTTTATTTATTTTCTATATAAAATATACTTATATATGTACAGTATCTTTATTCTAACCGTTACCCTAGTATCCCATAACACAAGCCTTATAGTGCTTACTTTGGGGCTAGGCTAATTGGTGTGAGTGTTGGAAATATTTATTATTTATTTATTTATTATTATTAATTATTTAATTTAAGCAAAAGCAAACAACTCACAAAAAAGCATTAATGTGTTTATGTAAGAAAAAAGTGATCCCTTTCCGCAATAGTGAATCAACTCAATCAATACTTGTGTGCAAGGAATTAGAAATGAGATGGAATACGAATAATGAACATGACGATCATGGGATTGGTTGTGATTTATTTATTTAAGCTAGGAAGAGCAACAGCAGATAATATATTATTAGGTAAGGGGCCGTTCAAGTATTACGTAAGCACTTTAGGGGGGCAGGGGGGTCTTTGGTTTGCTTATTTTTGATGACATGGGGGGGTGGCGGGTCGAGATAGTGATTACGTTAGCATCTTGGATTATGGTGCCATGGACTGAAGACTGTTAATTGAAATTAATATGTATACCAAAAAATTGAAAGAAGTTTGTTTTATTCGTAATAGGAAAGTTTGTTTAAATTAAAGTACTGCTGCTCATGAAAGCTCATGAATCAATAAAACAAAATAGAATACATCAAAGGAAAAATGCATATAGGTACCAATGTTTACAGAAGCACCGGAGGGGGGGGGGGGAGCTATGCTTACTTTTGTTGACAAGGGGGAGGAGGGGGTAAATAATTGTAATCAATCTGCTTACGTAATACTTGAACGGCCCCTAACATAAAAATAGCAGAAAACCATTTATAGGTAATGACCAGTAACAATGTAAATGCAAACTACAAAAACAAGGTACAAATTTTTAGGTAGTGTACAGAACAAAAAGAACCTTAAACATTAATTAGCATACTACGTACATATGCAAATCAGTATAACTCTGATAAATCTCTAAGTACTTTGAAGTATAAGATTGTTTTACTTACCCAATGAATGGATAGCCAAAAAGCATTTGGAGATCTGTGATTTGTCAAAGTGTTTTGTTTTGTTCGTGTTAGTACAGTAGACCCGGACCCTGTCTAATCCGGAGCCCCCTGTAATTCGACACTCTTATCACTGTTGATTTACACATAAAATAAATTGAAATACATTTTTAGATTTGTAATTTGTCGGATTACAAGGTACTCTTATTCCAAAAAAATCCGGTCTATAGAGACTATAGAGTAGGCTTAGACAGTACTCTGTTATCCGACAAATTCGATAATCCGACATCGCCCTGCAAAACGTTTGTCGGATTACCGCGGATCTACTGTATTGAAGTTTAGTTGTATGAGTTGGGAGTCATGTTTTAGTGGCCTTTGTTAGAGAGTAATGCTTCCATATTATTTCTTATTTGCTGCTAATATGCAATAAAATGTAAATTTATAATTGAATACAATAGTCGTTCTTCTAACATTCTACTGCTCAGGTATATATCATGCATATACAGTGTAAACTCTATATAATGACACAAAATTTTTATTTTTTTTAAATCACGGTCAAACAACAGTCTACACGTGTAATCCCATCCCAATTTCTTAGAAAGTTTGGTTTGCATGATGCCGGCAGTCGAGTGTATTACAGGCTAGGATAATAAAGCGACAAAAGGATATACACAGCTGCTCCATTTCACTAATTTTGGCAATGTATTACTTAATTGTTGTCGTTATTGAGAGTGGGTGTAATGCTATATGGAGTGTATCATTGTATGGAAAACAAACTAAACCAACTACAGATGAGTGATTTCAATGCTTTAGGGAGTTTGTCGTTAAATCTAGTGAGGCTCAGCTTTCCATTATATGTAATTGAGTTGCAAGCTGAAATTTTTGTCATGCAAAGTATTAACTATTAAAAACACGTACACGAAATCTTTTTAGGCGGAAACGAATAGAACTCGAGAAAAAAATTATTGAAAATTAATATTTTTGTAGGTTATGAGTCAATTTTGACAGCAATTTTGATCAGTGCTGCCATTTTTTTATGCAAAAATAACATGATTCTCGTTGTCTATGGTAAATATAAGTTTATTATGTTGGTACTATTGTCAAAATGTGACAATTTACCGCCATTAATGAGATCTGTCAGTCAGTGTTTGTGTTCGTCGCAGTTGAGAGCTTTTTCGTACTCCTGTTGATATTAACATCGTCTGACTACCATGGCATCCTCAAAGCCTTCGGCCTCGAGTTCTGCTGTCCCATCGCCTGAAGAGTCGAGTGTAGTGCGAGTTTTGGACTCTAATGAGCCACTTGTGTGGTGATACTTCACACTAGGTTAGGTTAGGTTAGTGTTGTGACCTTAACCAGAAAGAAAAATTCGTTAATAAAGACTTTTTCTACAAAAAAATCAAATATCACCTCTAGGCCCTGGAAGTACAGTTTTACCTTTAAAACCCCTCTAATTTTTTATAATTATCATTTCTGTAAAAAAAACGACCCTTCCCTCTGAGGGGTCTTCCCTAATACCTATCCCCCTGAAATTTCACTACTTAAAACAGATTTAATGAATTTTTAGGTTAGGTAAAAAAAAAACTGCATTTCCGCCAAAAATCTTTTATGGCGGGGGGTGCGGGGGGAGCCCCCCCTCCCCCTCCCCTACAAATTACCGCGAAATTCAATTACATATAATGGAATTAAGTACCTCTAGTGACGTTACGTGGAGTTTACACTGTAATTACTTTTCTCCTGTTATTTTGATTTCATCCAGATATACAATGGAGACAGAAGACTGCCCAAGTGAAACGGTGCCTTCGTTACTAGTAGATAGTGCAATACTATCGTCGACATTGAATACTACCAGGTTGCAGTGGAATTCTTACTGTATAGGTGATGAAGTATTTTATGAACTGCCTGAAAACAATTTACACAACGATTATGTACAGTTCGAAATGCGTGCATGGAGGAGAAGTAATATAGAGGAAAACTTATTTGTCGGGAAATTAAGCAACGAACAACAGTATGTTTGGACTCCAGATGGATCGTCAGATGACGGTAAGTTTATTGTACATGTTATAGTATCTCGAACGTTATAGTTCTCATACGTTTGGCAACCCTCCGCGGCGCAGCCTCGCCCGCGACAATACAGCCCGTCTAGCATGATCACCGAAACGGGATATGATAAAGCGATATATCGACATTAACTGTCAGACTACAGTGGAATTTGACAGTTGAGATTCGACAAAAAGCTTTATCATATCCCGTTTCGGTGGTCATGCTATAGGAGCTGATCGTGGGACAGCACCTTAAGACATTATTTTTAAATTACAGAGTCAGAAAATGGCGAAGGATTTATGGACATACATGTCAAGGATTTTCCCAATGGAGTTATTGTTAATTCCAACGTATATCTCACTTTACACCAATGGCACACCCTTATACCTGGTGACGTCTATATCCACTGCTTTGTATGTGATGACTATTTTAGTAAGATTTCCCTCAATAGTCATATAAAAAGTAATGATCATAAACAAGCATTGAACAGCTGCAAGCCACTCGTGAAATACGAATTGAGCATTACTAGGGAGGTAAGCATTATTTATTGTCACATACATTGGTGTCGATTCTGGCGTGATACTCTAAACTTAAAACTAAATTTAATATCAGTCTCTCCTTTTCATTCTGTATAGAGAATGACAAGGATACACTGTTGTCAAAAAGTTTAGATTTAGAGAATCGTGCCAGAATCGACACCATTTATTACATACTTGAATATAATGTAGTCCCTGACTAGTGTTGTCAGGTCCGATTTGTTTTAAATCGGTACATGAGGTGAAAAAAATCGGGATTTAGGGTTGCAGATCGGGACAGTAACCAAAAAACAAGCGGTTTTTAAGTCTGGATTTAATTTATTGCGTTTTAAACTACTAGTGGAAGTATAGTATTATATTTTGTGATTTTCTTTTGACATTTTATTTTATTAATGTATTACAATTTTTATTTTGCAAATAAGTATTTTACATAGACTAAGAGATATGCTCTAAGTACAAAAAAGTCATAACATAATTATAAATCTATATTTCAATTAATTTTTGCATGCTGGAAACGGCTAATTGTGCGATCTGACCTAATCATTTATAAAAACATCATTGTAACCACAATTAGGGCTGCCACCTCTAAAATGTGGCAACCAGAACAAGACGCGTGATAACCCCGGATTTTGGAGCCCAGAACCCGGACAGATCTATAAAAAACAGTTAAAAATGTCACAAATCAACTTTTTTTTATGTTGATGTAGGCAAAAGGGCTAGCATTCCACCTCATACTGCTGTCCATGGACACTTGCAGCACTAAGGGCCACTCATGCGATGCTGGCTCTGAACGAAAAGGTTCATCCGCCTTTTTAAGATAACCATATCATAGCTATAAGAAAAAAATACTGAGGAAAGTTCGTTCCAGATCTTGCTGGTACGCAAAAGAAAGGAACACATGGTGCTCGAACGCCAGGCGTCCAGATGGTGGGCGTTAAACTTCTCTGCGGTGTGTGGTGCTGTGGAGAAACTTGGCCACTGGCATACGGTTGAATAATTCCTCGGAACACTCTCCATTGTATAGACGGTACAACACGTATAAGGAGTTGCGATCTTGTGCATGTTGTACCGTCTGCGCATGCTAAGGGGTTGCAACGCGTCAGTGAGCTCAGGATCATCGATAAGTTAAACTGCCCGCTTTTGTATCCGGTCACGAGGAAGGAGCTGGTATAGGGGTGCTCCTCCAGAGGACCAGTCCTTTGTAAAGTAACGCTCGATATTTAGGCTTGAGGTACTTACTAGACCTATTAAGAATCCAAGCTTTTTCACACTCACTTGTGTCTTTGCTGGGTTAATCCAATCAAATTTTGTTGGCTCCAATTTGAGACTTGATCCAGTAACATCTTAATCTCGGACACAAGTCTGTCTTTATACCCTTCTTCTTCCATCCGAGGGATGTTTGACCGACCAGTGTAAAAAGTGTCAGTGCTGATATCCACATATCAACGAACGTGTTATTGCGTACAGCGTGCGCGATAGAGCTGATCTTTGAGAGAGAAGAGATTTATTTATTTTCAAAGTCATTTAAATTGACGGATTAATTGGCGACCCAAAACAGGAAATTTTAAACCCGGACTACAAATGAAATCCCCGCCCCCTAAACTAGGACAAATCCGGGGAAACCCGGACGGATGGCAGCCCTAACCACAATGATTGCAAATTACCTAAATTTAATTTTTTGATTAATGAACATACAAACCGGTACGAGTCCCCAGACCTCTGAAAATCAGGACGTTCCGCGCAAATCGGGACACCTGGCAATACTATCCCTGACCCCTATAATAGGATAAAGACCTGTGTGACAGGGGTCAGTGAAATTGGTATTAAACACCCCGACAAACTCCTGAGCAACGACCATAATTATATAAGTTAACCCGCGCGGTACCAATTTTACATACAAAAACGTTCTTCCGCCTGTTCTTCTTGTCAGCTAAAAGATGTCACTGAACAGGTGGTAGAAAAAATTTATAATGACGATTCAAAAGCGCTTTTAATAAGTCAACATGAATAAAGTTTATTTTATTTCGTGTTATTTCCATTTCATTTTAAATCTTCCACGCCCGTTCTTCTCGTCAGCTAAAAGATATAAATACCCGCGAAAACCAATTATGAGTATATTTAATATCCCATACTGTCGAACGGATGTCGGACTCCACTCTGCCAAGAATATATAGAAAATACAATGTGAAAATACACAAACTATGTGGGAGAAATACTGGTATTGATGTATTTTGTAATACTTTGTCAACATTTAAACGGAAGTTGTTGTAATCTGTGACAAAATCTGATTTTGTTATTTTTATTGATTTTCAAAATCTGATTTTGTTATGTTAGTGTTATTATTATTGAAATGTAAAATTGCAATTTTTTTATCGAGCATTATTTGGTTTAATGTAATATTGGTGTCGATTCTAGCATGATTCTCTAAACCTAAACTTAAATTTGACAGCAGTATATCCTTGTCTGTCTCTATACAGAATGAAAAGGAGAGACTGATGTTAAATTTAGTTTTAAGTTTAGAGAATCACGCCAGAATTGGCACCAATTGCAATCTAATTTAACTTCATTTGATATGTAATATTATGAGTTAAAGTTCAATCCTTAAAATTATATTTGCTAGATAATTGTTATGATTGACATCAACACTTATAATTGTTATGTGTACAAGTAAACAACTAATATGAATTATGTATATCTATGTTTGATAAACGCAAGGTTAGTGTTGCTAATAAATAAATAAAGATGTCCCTGAACAGGTGGTAGGCACTGTCTACCAAGGCTGCTTTCCTTCTTGACTAATATAAGCTGGCTGGAGTAAAAGGAAATGTATTGAGACACGCGCAATGCAACGATATTAAATACCCTAGATACACCGACACGAACAAAATCGTGGCCGAAACCTGTCCAAAAGGTACATTGGACGACCCACGGAGCTCCGAACGATGGTCATCATCAGCCTATTAATGTCCCCAATGCTGGGGCACAGGCCTTCCCTATGGATGGAATAGGGAGATTAAGCCATGACCCACCATGCGGGCCCAGAGCGGATTGGTGGGTGCTAACGACTGCAGATGCAGCCGGGACCAACGGCTTAACGTGCCTTCCGAAGCACGAAGAAACTCGAGATAGAAGATTTTTGGTCACCCATACAATGACCGACCACTGCGAAAGTTATGCTTAAGTTCAATGATCGCAGCCGAACGCGCTAACCACTTGCGCCATCGAGCTCCTCATCCTCATCTCTCGAGCTCGAGAACGATGATCGCGTAGTCAAAAACAATATATGGCGTTATTTAAACATTGAAAGTCACCTTTAATGCATACTGTATAGGGTCTTAATTAATACGCATAGGTCAGAGTTGTGACAGTTTGAAATGCAAGCTCGTAAAATTTTACGACTTATTGCTATATGCGGAGAAATATAGACCTTATTTCTTTGACCCTACGCACAATTCTGAATGCGCTGTTAGCAATATAGCAAGTACGGAATGCGAGGAAATGAGACAACTATACTATAAAATTTAATATTGGTTTGCTAAAATATTGATAAAAATGCACTCGGAAATACTTTTTTGTTTTGAAATTACCTTCGATGGATTGTAAATTGTGGATATTTTTGTCTCATTTTAATTTTCCTCTCTAGTAATAATACAGTTTGTTTTAATTTTATACATTGATAGGAACGCTGTTTCATATTATACGGGAATGGGCGTTAATTTTGCAACACAGTTTTTGTAAAACTAAAGCAGATTTAAGGATTCATAATTTTATGTACATTGCACTTGTTCCAAATAAAGTTATTATTATTATTATATTATCGACCATGCATTTGAATATCACAAATAATTTTGTACTAAATCAGTTTATAGTAAGTATTGGAACAAAATTTGCTTCAAAATTAACTAACGTTTATTAGAATACCTATCGAAAAAGGGACACTTTACATACTATAAGTATTTATTTCGCATTTTTTCATGGAGCTCTGCGGCATCTTGACTTTTCAACGGTCCGCGCGCACATTGTGTTATTTCACCTCAAAATTACCACTCCCTTGATTAAAGGTGAATCAGATAAAGCTCTTCATTCTAAGCGCAAGAGTAAAACTCCCACGATTCTAACTATAATAGTTTCGACGAAATCCCGGTTTTTCTTTTTTTGTACCACATTGTGAAAAAGAAATATAAAAAAAATGTCTAAACTATTACAGTTATTTTATTTTTTACATTGTATTTCAAAAGGTATTATTTTTATCCATATTATGAGTCTTCTATGGCTGCCCTAGAGCTTGTAGGAACCGAGGAATAAGCGATTTAGTGATTTTCGTTTTTAATTTTTTGTGCTCATGTTATGCAATATTAAAGCTTATAATTTAGTTCAAAATGTAGCTAATAATGTAGACTATCAACTCAAAAAATAACAAGCTTTAACTCAGTGGTATATCGGAAATATTAAGAATTTAAATTTGTGGGACAATGTCCCACATTTTGAAGACTTAATTTTGAAAACGTAGTTATGCTACTTTTTAAATATTATACTATAATTACTATATAAATACGTTGTTATTATATTATTTACTATTTATATAAGATTATAAATGTGTTTGGTATGTTTGTTACATAATCATCCACTTTTGTGGGCCAACGTGTTTGGATGAAATGTAGCACACAGGCATTAAGTTCTTCCCTATTAAGTGCAAATAAACAAATAAATCTGTTTAAACATTATCTGTCGTAAACACACTGTCTTCGTTATGAAGAACAGTTGTGAACATCCCGAACTGTCCGGTTTTAATAAATTTATTACAGCCTGTGGCAGTGGCATTCTCATTCGGTCATTTTCACGATGTTTTAGCCGTATAGCCGATATCACAGGGTCGGATGACTCGAGCGCCCTGTGAAATAAGTCGGTCATGGTATGAACCCTAGAATCTTTCCGGCTGTGATGTTCTCTGTCCTGACGCCCAAACTTGTTCCTGGATTCTCCTGCCTGTTCGGAGAGTAGTCCAATGGGTAGCGCTGAATTCTCTATAATTTTCTCTCCGTGAATTAGGATTTTTTTTAAGGGTAGTAGTCATAGGGTGCCAGTTGGAGTTTTCTACGTATTTTTTAGCTATATTTTTACAAAAAGTTTTTGTATCCCAAGTGAAAAAATGACCCAAAAGTCAGACAGTGGCGAGTAATAAAAAATTCTGACATATATAAAAAATTCACAACTGTTCTTCATAACGAAGACAGTGTGTTTACGACAGATAATGTTTAAACAGATTTATTTGTTTATTTGCACTTAATAGGGAAGAACTTAATGCCTGTGTGCCACATTTCATCCAAACAAGTTGGCCCACAAAAGTGGATGATTATGTAACAAACATACCAAACACATTATAATCTTATATAAATAGTAAATAATATAATAACAACGTATTTATATAGTTATTATAGTATAATATTTAAAAAGTAGCATAACTACGTTTTCAAAATTAAGTCTTCAAAATGTGGGACATTGTCCCACAAATTTAAATTCTTAATATTTCCGATATACCACTGAGTTAAAGCTTGTTATTTTTTGAGTTGATAGTCTACATTATTAGCTACATTTTGAACTAAATTATAAGCTTTAATATTGCATAACATGAGCACAAAAATTAAAAACGAAAATCACTAAATCGCCGATTTCTCGGTTCCTACAAGCTCTAGGGCAGCCATAGAAGATTCATAATATGGATAAAAATAATACCTTTTGAAAAACAATGTAAAAAATAAAATAACTGTAATAGTTTAGACAATTTTTTTTTATTTCTTTTTCACAATGTGGTACAAAAAAAGAAAAACCGGGATTTCGTCGAAACTATTATAGTTAGAATCGTGGGAGTTTTACTCTTGCGCTTAGAATGAAGAGCTTTATCTGATTCACCTTTAATCAAGGGAGTGGTAATTTTGAGGTGAAATAACACAATGTGGCGCGTGACTGTGAACCAAGAAGTGCTTGAGTCGTGTTCAAGCACTTCTTGATTGGGACACATTTTGCGCGCACGTGGTGTATCTAGGGTATTTAATATCGTTGGCGCAATAGTCAAATAATTAGGACTAAGTGCGGAAAACGCCCTGAAAAACTAAAAAATAGGCAGTAGGAAAAAAATTAGGACGATTCAAAACAGCTCTCAATAAGTCAACTTGAATAAAGTTTATTTTATTTCGTGTTATTTCATTTCACATCTTCCAATTGCAGATACGTAACAAATATCACTGCGGCACATGTAACATGATTGTCGAAAAAGTCGACCAGACCCTCCACTACGAATCCGAATCGCACGAAAACAATATGCTGACTGCAATAAATAAAGTCTCCGACTTCGTGAATGATGATGATGATATCGAAAAAGACAGTGATGAAAGTGCAGATGAACATGATGACGGTAGCGATTTTGACGCTGACGACGAAAACTGTGATAATGAATGGGTGAAAGCGCTCGCTGAAAATCCTGGTGCGTCTTACGCGAATAAACTTAAGAAAAGCTACAACGCTCCGGAATATTATGATGTAGGTATCTATTCAACTATGGTATTCCCAGTCCGAAAAGATCGTATTGTTACGTGTCGGGATGGGGTTCGAAATAGGGGTGATGACGGGGTACAGTAAACGAAATTCTATTAAGTCCGTCAGTTAGATGATCAAATAATAATGGACACGTATTTTTTCTTTGGGCAATCAACCAAAAAATGACTAAGTTATAGCGCGTCAAAGTTTGGGAGAAGGGGCTCGTGACGTCATTTTTGATCTGTTAAAATTATACCAAAACGTGACGTCATGCGACTTTTCAAATCAATATATCTCTGCAATGTTTATATTATGTGAAAAAAGAGGAAATACGTGGCCAATACTTTTTGATAATCTACCTGATAAACGAAGAAAAAAAAATAGTCATCATCCCTATTCCCTGTCCGAAAAGATCGTAGTGTTACGTGTCGGGATGGGGTTCGAAATTATATGCAAGTTCACGCTTGACAGTACTTTATTCACTACACAGTTTACATACAATGTTAATCACAATACACGCACTAAACACTGTACTTCGCTATATCAGTCTTTAAACAAGCTATTTTGGGTTCTCTGGAAGAAATTGCTCATTAGCGATAAGACCGCCCTTTGTGCAATGTGATTATTCTACTTAGTTTTCTGGATGTCTTGTTACTGTGTTGTGCAATAAAGAGTTTTTTATCTTATCTGATCTTCTAATCTTTGGTCAACTATATCATCATATTTAGTTATTTGTAACTAATTTAGTCTATATAAGTATAGAATTATATGTGTATGTTTATCATATATATTTAAGTATTTATGATATTTTATTTATATATAATAATAAAAATAATAACATACTCATACAAGACACAAACACTCCTTACTAACTACACACCATAAACTATCTTAGAAAATGACACACATAAACTTAACTACGACCGCGCTATTCTCACCGACAGAACAATTCACTACAATAGACCGGATATAACCTTACAGGACAAAATAAATAATGTTACTTAACTAATAGATATAGCCGTTCCCAACACACATAACATTCAGAAGAATATATGTGAAAAAAATAGTAAATACTCAGAACTCAAAGATGAAGTAACTAGAATATGGCGTCAACAAAAGTTTACGTGGTCCCTATAGTCCTCTCCACAACAGGCGTCATTCCAAATCACCTTCTATTCATAGCCTTAAATGAATAAAACTAAAAGAAACCCTCTATATCACCCTCCAAAAAGCTGCAATTTTAAATACATATCATCACAGCACTACAACATAACACAACACATGCTGCACTTACTTGGTTTGGTCCCGTAATTGTAGTAAAAACCAGCGAAAGAGCTGAGAAGAAAAATACTCTACAAATAATAATAATAAATATTCTTTATTGCACACAACCAAGGACACAAGACAAAAACAAATAATATATATTTATTGTTTTTTTTTTATAGTATAGTAAAGTTTAACTTTCATCTCCCTATTCCATCTTTAGGAAAAGCCTGTGCACCATCAGTGGGGACATTAATAGGCTGATGATGATGATGAAACTTTAATTTTACTAGCTCACTCTCTATTGCCATTACAATCGTTTCCTACACCCTAACTGGTTGACTGGTAGAGAGTGCCTATGTCAATAAATCAGCTATTTACTGTATTTTGGTAAAAAAGAATAAAAAATTATGTCTTATCTTATTACAAGGTGGATTTGGGCGGTAAAAGAGTTAGAGTTACACACGACTGTTGGCATATGATAATTAAACCAAAGGAAAACAGCTTCTATTGCATGGTGTGTAAGGAGTACTATCGTAGCACGTTAAAAAACGAACACTGCGCCAACGCTGAGCATTTAGACAAACTGAAGAGGTGCTCCATAGTTGACAGGTTCGGAGAATATTTCATCAGGCAGGTATGTGTTATCGTGGTCTCTGCGTCTGTCCAATTCAAATTTGATATGTTGGCGAGGAACTGGCGAACAAAACGGTATAATTACATAAAATTAAATCTAAAAAAATATTTTATTGTATACAACTGAATGACATTACTACAGTGAGGTTTGGCATAGTTTATAATTTAGTAATGGGGAATGTGACAGTATTAGAAATAAAGTGCCAATTGTTGGCATCTGTGTTTAGAATGAATATTGGCAGGGGTTTTTACTATTTTTACAAAAAAAATATTCATAATTTTACTAAAAACTAACGAAAAAGATAATAGTTTTCTTATCTATTGTCACGTGACCCAAAACGCTTGAGATTGGCGGAGCCTAAAATGACGTCACACGCAAGTAAACTTTCGGTTAAAGTGACATTTGATTGTATGGTTTGACGTTTTAATGACAGTCGTGTGACGTCACACACCAGTGAGACGCCATATTGTCCAGAGATACGTTTTTCGCGGCAACTTGAAAATAGAGATTTTGATTTGGTTTTTTTACCGAAATACACAACATAATGATGAATATAATAGTAAATAACGTGAGATCGTTTTCTAAAACTTGTCAAATACCTTATTTTAACACTGTCTTAGGTGGTTTTGATTGAAAATTATTTAAGATTCAAATTCAAAGGGCCTGAAACCTCCGGACTGTAAAAGTAGTTTGACCAGATGCGTAATTACCGTTATGTTCGCCAGCTTCTCAATTGTAAACGTGTTAAATAAGATGCTTGAAATACGTAGATGACATTATTAGATGCTTGGAATACATAGATGACATTATTAGATGCTTGGAATACGTATAATGCGATTCAACTAACAAGAGGAACGACTGGGCGCCATATTTTGACGTCATAGCTGTCAACTCAAACCAAATAGGTAGAGTGAGCAAAACAATTTTGCTATTCAATAAAACTTATTTACTAAGATTAAGTGTGACAAAACATCAGAATTTTTAATAAAATTAATTTACTAAGGTTGAGAAAGAACACAACCGATTTTTAATAGTATTTCTTTATTAAGACTGTGTGAAAAAAAACATTAATCAGAATCTAGCTCTTCAATTTCGCTCATCTTTGCATTACCGCCGGAGAAGTTATGAATAATCATGCAGGTCACATACGAACATGCATTCTATATGTAAACGAAAGTTTTAAATCGAGTTACTAAACGCAACATAAAGTGACATTTGGTTGACGATTTAGGTTATCAACCATTTATAGCCAATACTCAATAAGTGATAAAAAACAACTAATATTATTTTTCAACATTTGTTATTGTTTGTTTAAAAATGTTTGGTTTTTATTCTAGAATCAGCTGAGTGCTGAAAAAGTGTTTCGAGATTTTTTTGCAAACCGTACTTTTCAAGCCACATTTGGCAGATGGAGGTCATTGGCTTTCCTATTCTTATTTGAATCGCATTATAGATGACATTATTAGATGCTTGGAATACGTAGATGACATTATTATTCTTTCCGCTCTCTCCTACGTTTGTAACTTAATTTAATTAATTGAAGCAGTACAGAATTATCTCTTTATTTGTATTGTAATTTTTAATGTCCTTACGCATTTCAAAAACTTACACCATGCTTGCTCATCTGTGATCGTGCCCATCAGATTGGTTTTCACCTGAAACTCCGTTCGGCCAAAAACAAACCCCGCGGGTTTTGTTAGTTTGGAAAGCCTCAGAGCAACAATTGAAGCATAGGAAAGGTTTAAATTCAACACATATAAATTCGACTCATATATTTTTCTTATTTTTACATATGGACCAGAGAAGAGTAAAGCGCTTATTCCACCTGTCTAAATTCAGACGTTCTAAATCATTCAGTAACTAATTCAGTGAAGTGAAATAGCATTTCGGAAGTTAGGATCCTAATTAGCATCCTAAATCGGAAGAAGTGTGGCTTCTGACTGACTAAATCATTTAGTTTAGATGCTTCAATCGTTGAAGTTAAGCAACTTTCGCAGTGGTCGGTCATTGGATGGGTGACCGAAAATTTACTATCTCGAGCTCCTCCGTGCTTTGGAAGGCACGTTAAGCCGTTGGTCCCGGCCGCATCTGCAGTCGTTAGCACCCGCCAATCCAATCCTGGCCCAATCTCCGTATTCCATCCATAGGGAAGGCCTGTGCCCCAGCAGTGGGGACATTAACAGGCTGATGATGATAATGATGTGCTTTAGGTCGACGAATTTTATCATTGCGGTCGCTGCAACAGTTTGCAATTGAAAGGTAACATAGAAGAACACTTAGAGTATAGACACAATCGGAAACCGAGAAAGGTTTCCGAAACAACTTTCGCACCACCCGAAACAAATTCCGAAAGTTCAGGCAAAGAAACGAAAAATATAAGTCACGCGACAAAAGCAATAACTGACACAGCACCTGGCCCAAGCACAAGCAAAATGGCCGTATTAAATGGCCCTCACTTATACAAAGATGTTCTAGTGAATTACTTTGATTTGAGAATATTTCTACCGTTTCTCAATTACCATGTCATCTTAAAAAACTTTAATCTTTTGGGTTTAAATTATTGCTGCGCTCTGTGCGACTTTTTTTGCAACGAACGTTGTATACCTGCGCACACGCAGACCGTTCAACACATTCAACGCCTTCAGCAGTCACCATTCATTCTTCCATATAGTTTAAACATGATTAGATATGTGAGTATGCAACTTTTGTGTTTTTCATTTCAAACTTCTGTGGCGGCGACATCTATATGCCCCACAGATATACAACGGATGTAGGAAATCATTACTCACCATCCTCAAGAGATGGCGTTACCTGCACTGCGATCAATATTAGTATAGAAGCCTACATCGCGCAAATGAAATTCGAAGGCTAACTCTTCATATATACGATGCCCGACCAACATCAGTCGGGCCGCGGCCCCCGAGCTACCATCACCACCCAGCTCGGAGGAAGATCTTCCCCTTTGGGCTTCCTACACGACATAGTGTGTAGGAAGCCCAAGGAAAAAAGGGTGCACCACCCAGCTCGGAGGAAGATCTTCCCCTTTGGGCTTCCTACACGACATAGTGTGTAGGAAGCCCAAGGAAAAAAGGGTGATGGTAGCTCGGGGGCCGCGGCCCGACTGATGTTGGTCGGGCATCGTATATATGAAGCCTTCGAATTTCATTTGCGCGATGTAGGCTTCCATACTAATATTGATCGCAGTGCAGGTAACGCCATCTCTTGAGGATGGTGAGTAATGATTTCCTACATCCGTTGTATATCTGTGGGGCATATAGATGTCGCCGCCACACTTCAATTCCGCTTTTGTAGACAGCTTACATGTTACATTTATATACCTACACCTTAGGTTAAAACAAAAAGGTAAGATACGGCACTCGCGGCTCTAAAGTGATCCGCTTAAATTGTGGTACATGACCACAATCCGCTTTAGTTACAATTGGACATTCAAACACGCTGCATGTTGTAATGTTTGTTTTTGAGCGGGGCGTGGCACTGACACTCATATTACTGACACACGTGGGACAGCTGTTTTGTCTATGATAGCGAACCGCTTTATGTCAACGTAGCTGTCAAACTTAATTGGTTGGGTTGGTAACATTGAAAGAACAGTTTGTTTTTTTCATTCGACTTAAAAATCCACTTCAACTTTTAAAATGAAAAAGGAAATTACAGTTACTTTATGTTGTTGTGTTAAATGACCCTGCTGAATTTACAAATTGTTAAATTAGTAGTTAATATGGTCTATATTCTGTGTTGTAAAAATAAAACAATGCCTTCGATGCTTTTATAAAGAACAGAAATAGTTCAAAATCAAATAACAAATGCCTCGGCAACACTTTTCATTCGTAAAATTGTAAGACTATTTTTTTCTTAAAAAAATCACGATTTGTCGTGAATGTTATTTACGTAATCGCCATTTTGTTAATAAGAAAAGGACAACAATACAGCTCAGCCGTACGGACTCGGAAGCGTACAGTTCTGTCTCGCTCGCTCGATTGAATGTTGCCTATGTAGTTGAGTCGGATCATATTTAATTTGATGCTAGTATGAGCGTAGCGTATCTACCCTTTTTGTTTTAATCTAAGACATACATACACACATCAAAAAAGTCTTAAACAACACGTTTGAAATTTACAGAAAATGGATGTTTCATTAATTGATGTTTAATTTTTTTCTTAGCAAAGTAGATTGGTGTGCTTACAATATTTTTTGTTCTCGAATATATAATTGTTGCCTGATTTAAAAAATGGAAACTTTGTTCCACCCGGACTAGGCAGCAGACGGGACTCGAACTCACGCCCGCCCCCCCGCTAAACGGGCGAATGCACTGACCGTTGTGCTACCGCGGCCTTAATTGACCGTGTCGAATAGGGATGGTGACGGGGTACAGTAAACGAAATTCTATTTAGTCCGCCAGTTAGACGATCAGAAAATAATGGACACGTTTTTTTTCTTTGGGCAATCAACCAAAAAATGACAAAGTTATAGCGCGTCAAAGTTTGGGCGTAGAGGCTCGTGACGTCACTTTTGAGTGAATGTTCACTTAAAAGTGTACTCAAACGTGACGTCATGCGACTTTTCAAATCAATATATCTCTGCAATGTTTATATTAGGTGAAAAAAGAAAAAAATACGTTTCCAAAATACTTTTTGATAATCTACCTGATAACGAAGAAAAAAAAATTAGTCATCATCCCTATTGACACATTATTATGTGTACAAGATCAAATAATTTATTATGATAAAAATGGGTTGCCTTAAAAAATCTTGGACAGACTATTTTTAATTCATAAAAAAAACATTTTTAATTTAATGTCGCAAAATCAAGATAATAAGTAAATGTTGTCCTGCCTTAAAGTATAAAATTGTTGTCTATTATTTATTTATTATAATTTATCGAGGAGCTCGATGGCGTAGGTGGCTAGCGCGTTCGGCTGCGATCGTTGAAGTTAAGCAACTTTCCCAGTGGTCGGTCATTGGATGGGTGACCAAAAATTTACTATCTCGCGCTCCTCCGTGCTTCGGAAGGCACGTTAAGCCGTTGGTCCCGGCTGCATTAGCAGTCGTTAGTACCCACCAATCCGCACTGGGCCCGCGTGGTGGGTCATGGCCCAATCTCCCTATTCCATCCATAGGGAAGGCCTGTGCCCCAGCAGTGGGGACTTTAATAGGCTGATGATGATGATGATGATGATTATTTATCTGCGTGAACCACTGGGTTGCCAGGTATAAACATGTATGTCGACGCCAGTATGCACATTCTATACGTTTTATACTTTAAGTCAGGAGACCATTTTATTATTATCTTGATGTTGCAGCATGTTGTTTTTTAAAGGGAATTAATTTTTTGAGCTGTTATTTAAATATTCGAGATGTTATTATGATAAATTGAAAAACATATTAAGCAGTTATGTAATTTAATGGCGGTTAATTAATTAATGCAACTGTAAAACATGGACAGTAATAAAAAGTCAAATAGTCGGTTATTTTAACATACAATGTCTATTCTAAAAATAATTGAGCAGTCCAATAACTGAATGATTGGTAAAAATGATGGAATGAGCGGTTCGCTAAATACTACTATTTAAGTACTGCTTTTTATTATATTTCACCACCTCATTGTTTATAGAATTGCTTAGAATGAGATTTGTTACCGACAAAATTCCGATTTATTACTGCCCACACGTAACCGCTCGTCAATAATTTTTACCGCCCATTTAATTATTTTCCTGCTCAATTATATATTTACTGGTACATTTAATTCTTTTTTATTACTCATTTTTGTTTTCTTTACTGTTTAGTTTGAACTGCTGAACTAGCTATTATACGTGCTATTTATACCAAAACTGCTATTTACAACTGCCTCTTTAAATTAGTGCCTTTTTTAAATATTTTTTTAAACTAATTAAAAATAGTATGTCCAAGATTTTTTGAGGTAACCCATTTTTAATATATTTTCTAATATACTAACTTCATGATAAAATATGTTTCATTATATTATCAGCTCGGTGAAGGTCGATGTAGGTTCGGATCTTAGAATATTAAACACACGGAATTACACACTCTTTCAGTTCTCTATTCTTTATTTTTCCTGCCGTGTTCTCCACCTTAAGCAATGTTTCTTTATTCTATCCTTTTCTCTCTTCCTCTTCTAACCTTCTTCTTGAGATTTCCTGCCACTCTTCTGGCTTATTTGTTTATTCCTTTTCTGTGTAAGCTGCTCGACTGTAGAATTCTCACCCTGAAGGTAGCAGGAAGGCTCGTTCACTTAATTAATTTACCAATAAAGTTTAAAGCTATTTTCTTTCCTTATCTTAAATTCATTTAACATCCCATTTCTTTGTTCTTCTTATATCTCCTTTGTCTCCTTTTCCACTCTTCTAAATATTGCTTCGGGTGTCCGAATTCGAGTAATGTCTTTCGTGTACGGGCTAGCGACAAAATTAATTGGGCCTTAAGGCTGCGTTGTTTCATCTATAGTTAAATTTAACTACAGTTAATGTCACGTCAAATACATAAAAAGTGTGTAAATTAATATTGACAAAATATAGTTATTTTTGTGTCTAGCATTTTAACAATACATAACATTTGGCCTTTGACAAATAACATCATGTGCGTCACCTGACTTTAATAAAATAAAATTTTACAGATAAACGGTGCATTCCATTGTGCTTTATGCAACGTATTTGTATTGAACAACTTAATTTATATTCACATACAAGACCCTTATCATATTCAAATGATGAATAAAATATTAAATACTCCGAACAATACTACTGTTTGCGTGGCTAGCATAAATAAGAATGTAAATGATAAAACTTTAGGTAAAGACCAAACGAAGCCCGATTTAGTGAGTAAAACTAAAGAGTTACATACACAAAAAACTCCAGAAGATAAATACAAAAAAGAAGAGATTGTTGATGTAGAAGAAAATAAAGCAGAAAACTTGAATGTGTGCAGTGATAGTTCAGAATCCGTTGTTTGTTTAGAGAGTGCTGTTTATTTGAAGAAAGAGTTAAACACACAAAAAACTACAGAAGCTAAATACAAAAAAGAAAAGATTGTGGATGTAGAAGAAAATAAAGCAGACAATTTTAATGTGAGCTGTGATAGTTTAGAATCCGTGGTTGATTTAGAGAGTGCTGTTTATTTGAAACTTAATAGTGCTTATTTGAAAATCACTTTCACGTCTTTTAATACATTAGTGCCTATAGGTGATGGCAATAGGCATTGCTTCGTTTGCAACGCCAAAGTGGACCCTCAAAGTATCAAGAAACATGTGGAAAGTCGCATTCATGTGAAAAATATAAATGAATGCTATTTCTTGGATATGTGCGAAGGAGTGCCTTTGAGACAGGTAAGTGGTATATAAAAGGTTAGAATACATATACTGATACATATGTAACTATACTAGCTGATTCGGCGATCTTCGTGCAGCCCAAAGGTAATACTTTGCAATAAAATAATATTGCGACTATAAATTGAGATGTAAGCTATCCTGTCTTTCAAGTTGGATCAAACTGCAGACGGTGTGCAAATTAGATTTAAATCAGTTAAGTAGTTTAGGAGCTCGATGGCGCAGGTGGTTAGCACTTTCGGCTGCGATAGTTGAAGTTAAGCAACTTTCGCAGTGGTCGGTCATTGGATGGGTGTCCAAAAATCTTCTATCTCGAGTTCCTCCGTGCTTCGGAAGGCACGTTAAGCCGTTGGTCCCGTCTGCATCTGCAGTCGTTAGCACCCGCCAATCTAATATGGGCCCCGGTGGTGGTACATGACCCAAAATCCCTATACCATCCATTGGGAAGGCCTGTGCCCCATTAAGGCTGATGATGATGATGATTGTACAAAATTCGTTTAACACAAGTATTATACCTTGGTGTTAAATCGTCGAACATATTGCAGGTATACACAACTTTTCACTGCGGCATATGCAACGCTCTAATGCCACGTAGTAACATCAAAGACCACTTGGTTTGGACCGAGCATACGATAAAAATGGAGGCAACAAAATTATCAAAAAGAGTTAGGAAAATCGAAATCAAAAGCGGCACACCAGTCCACGAAGTTAAAATCGCCAAAGAAATAGCTTATGAACACCACGAGGAGCCAGCATCGAAAATATTGCGTTACATTCAAATAGTCGATAAAGTAAACATTGAGAAGAAATACAAAATGATAAGTATCAACGAGGATATACTCAAGGTGCCTATGTCAAGTTGGCATAGCGTGGTTAGAGTGAAACAGGGCTATAGGTGTTCGATGTGTCAGAAAGAGATGAAAGACGAGAAAGCGCACGTGAAAACGCAAGAGCACCTTAAGCGTGTCCACTATCCCTTCGTGAAGAAACACTTGGCTGATTTAATAAGAGAGGTAGGTAAATGGTAACGTAACAGCCTCTTCAATGAGGGCTACCGTTTTTTGTCTCACCAAATGGCGCCACTGTTGAGTGAGGCCCTGAATTGTAACTTTTAATGTTTATTAATACGCGCGTGAAATCAAAGTATACATTTAAATCATATTTTAATACAAAAGAACCGTATCCTAAACATAATTGGCCATACCACAGTGTTGCGCAGCTCCGTTTTGTACGGCAAAAAGGAGGACATAATTATTTTTCTTAGCTCCGCTTTTAAATAACTGACATTCTATACCACGTAACTCATATTTGCTATAATTAAGCCGAGTTATATATTAATACTAAATATTCACAAAATTACTTTAATTAGAAATAACCCGCGTAGTCAACCCACAACCAATAACATTTGACATTTCGGAGACCTCACGCTACACAAGCGCCTCTAGCGGCGGATTCATACGCGATAGCCCTCATTACGCCGTGACGTGGTGTCACTAAGCGCGTTCTATCGTATGTACCACGGCGAGTGTCCTGAGGAGTTATTCTCTCTTATTCCACCTTCCCCTTTCCTTCAGAGGACCACGCACGCTGGCTTACGTTGTCACCGTCTAACTGTGGCCACAATTCCAACGCGTACAAAGAAGTTTGGTGACTCATTTCTTTGTCGCACTATCCGTAAATGGAATGCTCTGCCTGCTCATGTGTTTTCTCCTTCTTACAACCTGGGATCCTTTTAGCGGTTTATGGGGCTTTCCGCCCTTTTGAACTTTTTCTCAGCACTAATTGAAAGGTTTCGGCACGTTTTTACTGGACTCAAAATACAATGTATCATGCGCGAGGTCCTTTCATTCAAATCCATTTAGTAGTTTTGCGCGGGTAACAAACATACTAACATTTACCTTTATAATATTAAATACCCTAGATTCTCCACGTGCGCTCAAAATGTGTCCCAATCAAGAAGTGCTTAAACTCCACGCAAGCACTTTTTGGTTCGCAGTCACGCACGGACCATTGAAAAGTCAAGTTGCCGCAGGGCTCTGTGAAACAATGCGAAAAAAATATTTATAGTACGTAGTGTCGTTTTTTCGACAGGAATCTAATCATGGTTTTTTAATTTAACGTATTTAAAACAAATTTTGTTCTAATACTTACTATAAACTGATTTAATAGAAAATATTTGCTATATTGCTAACAGCGTATTCAGAATTGCGCTTAGAGTCAAAGAAATAAGGTCTATATTCTTCCACATATAGCAATAAGTCGTAAAAAATTACTAGCTTACATTTCGAACTGTCATAACTCTTTGACGCATGCGTTTTAATTAAGACCTTATACACTATGCATTAAAGGTGACTTTCAATGTTTAACTAATGCCTTATATTGATTTTGACTACGCGATCATCTTACGGAGCTCCGTGGATCTTACAATGTACCTTTTGGACAAGTTTCGGGCACGGTATTTAATATCGTTGTATTAGTAGGATTTCTTGTAATACATGTACCTTTTTACAGGTTAACAATAACATTCTACATTGCGTTATATGTAACGCAGAAGTTGCTAATGTCAGTAACGTTATATTAACACACATCGGCGGGAAGAAGCACAAGAAAAAATATATATTCATTAAAGAATTCAGCGCGAACACAAATAGTTACTCAGATTGTGATAGTGATTTTTTACAATTGTGAATTTGTAATAATTTCAGCGCCACTAACGGCGTCTCCATCCTGATTTTATTTAGTGCTTAAAAAGTATGTGTCGTCACAACAAAGTCGTCAAGATAAACTAAGACCATTTTTAATCTTAATTTTTAAGTATTGCATTCCATTTTGACTATTAAACCTGTAAATGGGTTTAATTATGCCATTAGACGTGTGTGAAAGTCAATTACGTCTTAAATTAGTAGAATTAAATCGATTGATAAATTGAGAATACATAAACATGATTTGCTAGCAATTATTTTGCATATTTAATTACTTGTGATAGCTGTGTTCATCAAAGGTGATTATGTACTAGATATATTCTAGGTTATTGTTTTTATAATTGAAATTTGCTTAGATTTACGATATTTTTATAATTGAATATATAGGACCTTTAACTATTAAAATTATGAATATGAAAACTAGAGATGGGCCGACTATAGTATTTGCCGACTAACCGACTAGCCGACTAATCGGTTTTCGAATTGCCGACTAGTCGGCCGACTATTCTGCAATGCCGATCATTCTAATACCTATCTTAGGAAGATGTTCGGAAGATTTCGTCACTACTCGGCATGCTCACGCACGACACGAGTCTCCCAAAACGAGCCAAAATATTCATGTTCCAACATCACAATTTTCCTCTAAGGAAAAAAATTTTTACCTATGGACTTCTTTAAGACTCGCGCTAGCACTTAAGATTTCACTTAAGTAAAACGTACTTACTTCCCACTACTAATTTGTTATGTACGATATTCATTGTGTTAAGTTATCCGAATTACTGACAGATTCTTAAGTTCCTAATTCTTATTATGTTACCTTTTTTTTTAATATTTTAAAACTGTAGGTAACTTTAAATACATACTTTAGTACTGTCTAAATATTCAAAACAAACCTTAGTTTTGAGTTTTGTTTCATTGTTATGTGCCGATTAGAATCGGCATGTTTTGCCGAATAGTCGCCGACTATAAACGATGTCGAATAGTCGTCTTTCCCTACTAGTCGGCGGCTAGTCGGCCCATCTCTAGTATGAACCATTTAAGCTAAGACCAAAGGAAAATCTCCAAATAAGTGATACACGCATTCTAAAAAATATTATTTTATTAAATTTGATATATTATTTGACTTATTGTTACCAATATACATATTATTGTTAAGCAAAGCTATTCTGTAAACGGTTTATTTATCATCATTAGTATAGTTTAATAGTTATTGTTTTATACATCATAATCGTGAAAAGATTATATATGTATATAAATTATAGAAAGTAAGACGACAGTCAATAAAAGCAAAATATGTTTAAAACTATCGCTATCTCTCTCTATCGTTTATAAATATGGCCTATTTTTTATTTCTCGACGAGTTTTTTAGTTTTTTTTTAATTATTTGTAAATTTTCTTTTCAGTGTTATTTTCACTGCACTCAGAATTATTATTTTCTGTCCTTTTGCATCTCTACTCTGAATACATATTTTGTAGTAATTTCGACGAGGTCTTTTGTATTAAGCTACGAACAAGCCATAATTAGTGCCTTTAAATTTGTATTAGTAAGTAAGTACTTATGACAAAATATAATAATACGCCATTAAGGGTGCCTTAAAAGTTTCAAGTTTTTCTATGACACTTTTAAAGATAGTATTTTTATAGTTAGTGCAATTTATTGAAATTCTCAAACGGACTCTGAAGAACGGAATTTTCATACGACTTATAATGCGATTCTACTAAGAATAGGACCGACTGGGCGCCATATTGTGATGTCATAGCTGTCGATTCAAACCAAATAGGTAGAGTGAGCAAAAAAAGTTTTCACTCATAACAATTATTTACTAAGATTAAGTGAGAAAAACCATCAGATTTTTTTTAATAACATTTATTTATTAAGATTGAGTAAAAAAAACACCGATTTTTAATAATATTTATTTATTAAGACTGAAAGAAAAAACATTAATCAGAATCTAGCTCATCTATTCCGCTCATTACTGCATTACCGTTTTATATTAGCAGAGTGCTAAAAAGGGTTCCAAGTTTTTTTTTTTGCAAACCGTACTTTTCAAGCGACATTTGACAGATAGAGGTCATTGGCTTTCCTATTCTTCTATGAATCTCATTATAAAACACTTTATTGCGTTCTACACTGTTTTCTTGAATTTATAAGACAGAGAAAAGGACATATTGACAATAACACTACCAGTTAATGGTGTTGTGTTTCTGTCGGTTAGGTTCCAGGGCTCCACGGAGTAGGGGATTGGGTCAGGGAAGGCGACGGCGCGAGTGATATTTTTTTGGTATCGCAAGCGTCTATGGTGGCCACTTACCATCAGGCGAGCTATATGCTTGTTTTACCCTTTAAAATATAAAAAATATGGGTGCGTGTACTTAAGTACGCGCGTGAGAAGTTCTACTTCTTTTTGGAATTATTAAAAAATAGTTTTTAATTGCATGCAGATAATTAATTACAATAAGATAATAAAAGGATTGGAAAAGGATAGTCAACGCAGTCAATAAAGTTCAGTTTTAATTTGAAAAATTTAATAAATAATCAAAATATTCAATTTAAATCACTACTGAATAAAATTTATTAGCACATATAAATTTCGCATTTGTATAACATTATAACACGTGTTAAGAATATAGAAACTAGAAACATGTGGATAAATATTATAAATATGAAAACAGTGATCAGAGGCGACGAGCGTCCCAACATGTGCGACTAAGAGATCCTATTACTATTTTGTTGGAAGCTTTTTTTTCGAGACTTACGAGTAATGTGCGGTTTAGCGGCCGACTTCATGGTGTTACTTTTCTGTTACAGTGTTGCGCGCGCATCTTAAAATTTCACTCTCATCATTTTTTCATAACGCGCCCGCGGCTAACTTCATTATGTTACTTTTGTGTTACAGTGATGCGCGCGCATCTTAAAATTTCACTCTCATAATTTTTTCATAACGCGACTAAAGAAGTATAACTTCAAAAATTGTGTGTGTCAGCTCCGACGCACGACTGGAGTTTACTCCTTAAATTCGATAGTCTAACCAGATGCAAAAAGAGTTTATTTAACTTAAAAAAGATTGACACTGTAAATGCCATATCCACGTTTACTTCTAAAGCTCAATGGTTTTGTGTTCAACGAATGGCGCGGTGGTACACCGACGCGGTTTCTTTGTCGTCGTAGGCAATAAAGGTACGCTACGATACTGTGCTACGGCATAGCACTACGGCTGCTACAGCGTAGACAGTAAAAACGTAACGAGGTCATTCATCGATAGATTTCACTCCTCACATTTTTCTCATACCGGGCCCCTTATATATGCAAATCGATTCTTAAGGAGTAAACTCCAAAAACAACAGTTTATTTTGTAATTCGCACGTAAAACCGATTTCTGGCGTGGCGACTTATGCCGTGCGCTATATGATGGTATATACAGGGCGTCCCACGGGTTTCTCACACGGAGGGAAAGTATGTTAAATATTGAGAAAGGATATTTGACTGAAAGAAGACATCATTTTATTTTTTAATAATAACTAGAACTGCATTCACAGTTTTTTTTAAATCGCCTGCTACAACTGGAACTCAATCTCGTGAAATTTGAAAAAAAAAACACGTGACGTATTTTATGACAACCATCGAAACGGTTAATCATAAGGATATTTTTTTTTCCTTAATAACATAGTATTTTAAATGAAATTACAATTTGGTCAGGAAAAAGTCCTCTTAACTTTCCTTGCTTCCAACAGCTAATGACAGAAAGATCATGACATCTAAATTTTGATCTGAAAAATTTACTCTTACTTTTCCGTGCTTCAACCAGCTAGTGTTATCATTTCAAAGTGCTTTTTACTAACAAGTACCTGCTCACTTAATAATACAGGATTTCCTTACTAAAAGTACGTGAAACAAATAATAAAGCGATACTTATACAAACCTAACACCGTTTCTTCTTAATTGTACTTTGTGTTTAATTATTAAAAAAAAAAAGACAAATTTCTTGACTTTTCATTTTAAATGCTATGTGATTTAGGAAAACATAATCCTCATGGGTTTCGACCAGCCCTTCGACAGTTATCATAAAATACATGTGTTCTTTTGTTTCACTTTTCACGACTTTGATTCCCGGTTTTGGCAGGCGATTTTTTTTTAACTGTGAATGCAGCTCAAATTATTATTAAAAATAAAATGATGTCTACTTTTAGTAAAATATTCTATCTTCAATATATTTAATATATTTTGGCTCCGTGTGACAAACCTGTGGGACGCCCTGTATATACAGTCCATATGCAGTAGTGTGTACAGTATGGCGACTCGGCGCCATGCGCAATCGAATTCGATTTTTATATTTAATGAAAATGTTTATTAAATAAACAGTCATCATTTTCTGGGGAAAAATCTTTGCATTTTATTTTATCTTTATGACATATTTAGTTCCTATCGCCATCTGATCTTTTCTGCTAATAACTTTTAGAAAATAATGTCGATGTTTCACATCTGCCAGGTTAGTTAAACGCAGTAAGTGCTTATAATTTAAATTATAAGTTATGGGAATCAAAATTTTGATCTTCTATTTATAATTCTTGTCCAAACTAAATATTTAATTACTAGCAAACCAGTGAACCAAATGTTCACCAAAACCTGATTAAAAAAAATGTATTTAATTAATTGAGAACTTCGGAGATTTTGTGTGGTTTCGTTTGAAATTCGTGATTTCTCGAAAACCGGAAGTGCTACGTTACTCAAATCCGGTTTGTAGTCTTATCAGACTATTCTTAACTTATAACTTAAATATTCTCTTTATCTATCTCTTACGGTTTGGCCGCTGAAACAGCACCACAGACGGACGGACGGACTTGTCTAATAGATAAGAGATGTTATAACTTTTATTTTATGAATCTTATAAAAACCATATTTACTTATTTCTAAAGACCATGGCCCTGGGGGGTTAATACGTGTCTGTGTAATGGGTTGCCTTTATTCGAATTATTGTCCTATTTGAGATTTTAATAGTTATATACCTTTTTATCTTATACAGGGTGTTACAAAAATACAAATAAAGCTTGAAGGGCGTTGAAGTACATCATATAAGGAGTCTTCTCTAATTTTCTGAATTCTGATGAAGTTTTAACTTTTTGTGTAAACAGTTATTTTCAATGATCCTCGAACTAGTGACGTGTCTTAAAATGATCGATATTTTTATTAATTATTAAAAATAACTGATTTTGCGCAATTATTTTATCTGTTGTAAATGTTAAAAAAATAACTCTTTTTGTTTTTTTTTTTGTTTTCGTTTTCTTTTTGTTTTTGTTTCCGGGATTTACAATTTAGAGTCTGTTTGAAAGATTTCAATAAACCAGCACTGTTAGTTTGTGAAGGTATTTATTATAAATATACAATAGTATCAATTCTGGCATGATTGTCTAAAGCTAAACTTAAAATTGACAACAGTGTATCTCTGTCATTCTCTTTACAGAATGAAAAAGACAGACTGATGTTTAATTTAGTTTTAAAGTTTAGAGAATTCTGGCAGAATCGACACCAATAATTTGCTTACAAAAACCTATTGTTATTGTTTTAATCTTTGATATATCTTTAATATCTTACATCGAAGTAGGTACCTATATTCTAAGAGCGCTTTTTTGGAAAATTTAAAAGGAATTTTATGTATGTTATATTTTATTTTATATTACACAGAGACATTTTATATGCTTTAAAAAAACAAAGGTGCATTTATTAACTATAACTTTTTATTGTAATTTATAATATGAAAAT